GTTCAGTCTTCGATTATTTTGAGATATAAAAGTAGCCACAAAGAAGAATGCATATATATTCAGTATATAAGAACTAATCTTGAGTTTTGTTGACCTTGCCCTCTGCAGAAATCCCCTGAAATGATTTCAAGTTGTTGCAGTAGGTTTTGTCTCAAAGTTGGTGAAGAAAAATATTAAACCTGTCTCTGCTAAACAGACAGATTATGTAATCATGAATATTGACCAGGACTGTGATCTTCCCTTTCTAGGGTTGAAAGAGACTGAATCCAATGCTGCTTACTTCCATGAATTCCAAGGATAACAATTCTGAGGATTTCACAGAGATTTCCATATTTTTTAACTACTCAATATTTGGTGGCTACTGAAATATTCAAGCTGGTTGCTAAAATTTAGCCTCTGGTTTAATAGTGTGTAAACTACACATAATCTACAGCGGTTTAATATGCTTCTTCTAAGCTTCCCTGCAATCTTCCGTAGTATTATTTCTGACTAGACCACATTTAAAAAGTCTTCTGATATATCTTGGAGATAAAACTACCGGTGGTTCATTTTCTTTCCTTTTTTTCTTTCTCTAGTTATGTTACATGAAGCCTACATCTTTGTCTCTCAGACAGGAGAAAGTGAAGGCAGACACAGCCAGTTCTAACTATTCATGGCATCTGATTTGGGGAACATTGGTGCAAAAGAAAAGCGCTGAAAAAGCATGTCAAAAGAAAAAAGGATGAATACTCTTTTTAAAAAGGGAACCAATTAGTATTTAAAACTGTAAAGTGGAATCATTTTGAAATTTAAAAACTCATGAATTTCTTTTTATCTTTTGAAGGGGACATTACAGAGCTAAGCATATTATTATGAGAAGAAGGCAGGAAAATCCAGTTTGTACATTTAGAAAATCATGATGTCTTATTCTTCATCCTGCTAACTGGGAGGAATAAATAAATAAATTTCACTATAAGGTTTTCTTGTCAGAGGGTTATTGAAAAGAAACACATCAAAGCCTATTGAACAGAATAGAAATGACAGAAGATTGTGAGTCAATTGTCTTGCTCGATCTGGTCCAGAGTGACCTGATAGTTCTGTGGAAAGGGGCACAAGTTATGAATTTAAGTGCGTGAGACCGTAAATGCAGCAGTATCTGTTAATTTCTTACATATTCATTGTATTCCTCAGAATATATAATTCTATGCAAATCTGGCTTTTTAAAAGTTACTTTTTTCTATTTTACTTATAATTATAAAATATAAAGATTAGAAGGGACCAGTATTGTCCTTTGCAGTAATCTGCTATACAGCATTCCTGACAGATGGCTATCCATCTGCTTAAACACCTCAAGTCAAAAGAGTTTACTGCCTCCCAAAGATATCCAAACAGATCTGATTATTAAAAAATTATCCAGTTGTCCAACCAAAATCTGTATCTTTGTAAATCAAGCTCATTGTTTCTTATTGTACAGAAGATAATTCTGCTCATGCCAGCTGAAGGAAATGCTAAATTCCAAAGTCTAATCTGCCTCAGCAACAAAGCATAGTAGTTAGATGTGTCTACCAGAAGTTAGAGATAGGAGAGGCAGGGTGAGGAATGATTCTTTTGGTGCCATGGCTCTTCTGCCACCAGGTTGGATAACAATTAGAACCAAACTAACAGCAAAGGAGCCATTCTCCCCTGCTTTTCCTCCCCTGCTGCTTCTGCTGCAGACACCACTTAGAGCAGGAGTCTCCAACCTTGGCAACTTTAAGACTTGTGGACTTCAACGCCAAGAGTTGAAGTCCACAAAGTGTACTTTAGAGGCAAAGTAGAAGCTGAAAGTAGGGGGAGAGAAAGAGAGTAACTAGGTCTTTCTGTACCAGTAGTCACTGCACCAAAAGACAAGTTGTTCCTATAGAGTGAACTTGACTTCCTTTCCCACTAGGAAGGAGAGTCAAATGGAAGGGACATTCAGTTGGGAAAGTTGTCCATGAGTGACAGCAGAAGAGACTAAAGGCAGCTTCATCTTAATGGCTTCTTATGGCTCCATAGCAAAGGTATCCATGTAGAGATGCCAGCAGAACTATCAGTGCTGTGATGAAGTGCTGCCCACATGCCAGCAGCTTGACAGGAGAATCTGGTTGCTTTGCTAAACTTACCTTGGACTGATTTACCCCTGTTTCCTGCTCAACATAGATTGTCTTGGCAGAATTGAAAAACAAAACAAAACAAAACACTGTATTTGCAGTGGAGCAAAAAATTGCAGGGAGAGACTTTCTTCCCAGTGAGCTGGGAGTAGTTTAAGGACAACATTAAATATTCATGTCCATAACAAAGAGTTAATAGGGTGTTTTTTGTGTTCAGCTGAACAGGATATATGGATGAACCCTGAATCACAAGCTATGGTTATTAATAGTGAAGTAGTATCAATAAGGCTACCTAAGATGTGCTTTTTTAAAAAAAATAAATGCAAGATGATTTAAAGACCTATTTTGGAATATTTTTTCCCCTGAATTTATAGCAGCTCAGATATCCCTATTAATACAGAAGTAGCAAACTAGATGCTTTAGAATCATATAAGATAGATTGTTATAATCAATAATAAAATAATTTTTCAAGAACTTGAAATAATGTTTGTCTGACTAGCTTGTTTAAAAAGAGGAACAAAAGAAATATAGCAAAATTGTATGATGAGCTCATGGCATTTTTTAAAAAGAAAACCCTCACATGGTGGTTGTTGTGGGAGAAATATCTGGAGGAAAAAGTATTAAGTATGTTGATCATCTTGAATCATAATAAAGGGAGGATTTTAAAAATCTGAAAAACAATGGATGGAATGGATGGGCAGACAGAGAAAGCAGAATCCAATAGCCTTGTTGGATACATCCACAGATCCAGCTAGAACAGGGCTGTCAAATTTGTGGGCCATGGGCCAGATGTGTCATGCGCTGGCCATGCCCACTCCCAGTTTAGTGAAGGGGAAAAAAGTTGCGATACATCACGTGATGACGCCATGACGACGTGAATTTGACAGCCCTGATCTAGAACATTGATCCAGTCAGTACATTGGATAAACTCAGAGATATGCCTGTTCCTACCCTGTTGCTTCCCAACAATTGGTAGTTAAGATATGCTATCTGTGATTCAGGAATTGGTATACCTGCATCAAGGCTAGAAGCCACTAGAAGCCACTGATAGCTGAATATTCCAGGCTTATTTCTGATTTCCTTTAATGTCTCTCCAAATTTGTGGCCATCATTATGGCCTACATATCCTGCATCTAATGGCAGAATATTTATAGTTTATGTCTTGCATTAAAAAAATAAATAAATTTGTTTCTAAATATCCTCACACTTAGGATGACACAGGATTCTGACACTATTTATTTTATTTTATTTTATTTATTTGATTTGTATACCGCCCTACTCCCGAAGGACTCAGGGCGGTGAACAGCCAACAATAAAATACATAAATATAAATACAAAATTTAAAAACCCGATAAAATCAAATTAAACTTTTTGGCCCAGACAAATTAAAATACCCCAATAATTTAAAAACAGATTAAAATTTACATATTTTAAAAAGGGAAGAGATCAGGCCAAGCCCGCTTGATGGAATAAAAAGGTCTTCACAGCACGGCGGAAGGAGCGCAGATCCAGGATCCTCCGTATCTCCGGGGGGAGCTCATTCCAGATGGTAGGTGCCCCCACAGAGAAGGCTCTCCCCCTAGGGGCCGCCAGTCGACACTGTTTGGCTGACGGCACCCGGAGGAGTCCCTCTCTATGAGAGCGTACTGGCCGGTGGGAGGCTATTGGTGGTAGTAGGCGGTCCCGTAAATAACCAGGCCCTAAGCCATGGAGCGCTTTAAAGGTGGTAACCAAAACCTTGAAGCGCACTATGAGAGATGAAAAAACTTATCTGTCCTCATTTTCATTATGCGCGTGATTTTGCATTATGCCATTGTGTCTCTGCTTTTATAGCTGTACTCTAAGCTAAAATGTTGAAGTACAGTAGATTTTGTGTGTGGAAGAGATGTTCCAGTCTTTGAATCATTTTAGTGGCCCTTTTCTCTTACAAAACTCATTATCCATTCTTCTGAATAGGCTATACACTTAGAATCAGAGAGATGCTATATTAGACTAACCGTGCTTTAGTTTGAATGGTTAACTTGAGGAAGTGGTGATAGGAAATTGCTGTCTAGAGAGAAGTCAATCTATCTCTCATGCCATTTAACTTCTACATCAGGAATAGGCAAGGACTGCACTTAAAAATTTGGAGGATGCTGAGTGCCACAGTATGAATACAATTACATGCTGCATGTTCATTTTGGGGCTTTGTTTCAGGGAGTTAGGATTTTTCCTTTTTAAAGAATTGTGATACAGCCATTTTCAGGTTCAGCAAATATGTATCAGAGGGTACTTCAAGGGCTACAAAGAAGGGGACTTGGGACTTGCAGAGTGCCCATCTCTGTTCCATATGAAATTGCTGGGATATCATCCCCAGACATAAATAGAAGTGACATGTGGATGATGTTCCTATGACCTCTGTGTGCCTTTTATCTAATCTATCTGAGTCACTCTGTATTCTGCCTAATGCTCAGACACTATAATAGATTGTGGGCCAATGAAATGAATCTAAATCTAGGTGTGATGAAAATGTTTGTCTGGCTTTATGGTGTTTAATTTGATCAGGAGGGTTTTATGTTCAGGTTGCCAGTTTGAATCTGTTTTGGATCCATTGCCACACAAAGGTCCATATTTTTATCAAATTAGATCTGATTGAGGTCTGTCTTAATGATATTTTCACCATTTTCTCACCCAAGAAACAACAACAGCAACTCAGGTCTGAAGTCTCAAAATAATTTTATTATCACCTCAGGTTTTTTCAAAATATAATATAGCAACATTATTGTCAGTTCTGTGTTCAACTACACTATTTCATGATGCTTAATATTTTCTGTTAAGAAAGGAACTTACTGAATAATACTTTCTTAAATTTTTCATAGATTAAAAATACTTTTTAATTTTTTCATTCAGGTGCACTACATTACACTATCGTACAGATCTGCCACCAACCAGCATCATTATCACCTTCCATAATGAAGCTCGGTCTACATTGTTGAGGACGATAAGAAGGTAAGATTTATTCATCTAGCACTAAAGGGGAGAGGTGAATAGTATCCAAGATACCAACTATTTTATAAATGTTACCATTAAAAAATAATTGAAATTATCTTTAATAAAAAAGGCCAAATCAGCTCTTATGGACATAAAGACCACCAAATAAGCATGCGCACATAGCCACGAGGCTGTACACTTAAGGAGTAAACAGATGTAGAAAAGGAGCAAGACATTTTAAGGAATTAATCATAAGAGGTTAGAAAAAGAAAACAAAATATAGCTAAAACCAGCTTAACTAGAATGAATGAATTTCATTCATTAATCATCTCTTCAATTTTCTATCCTAGCAAACCATTCATAGTTTCTACCACATCTGTACATTACTTCATTCACAACCTTTTATTCTTTAAGTTTTTTATTTCAACGTGCTTGTTTGGAATTGGTTGTTCACTTCTGTACTTCAGCCACATTATTTCAGTACTTGTTTATTCTTAACCCTGTCACTTCTTGTTTTATTTCTTAAGTACTCCATTCCCATTGCATTCAAGTTGCTTTTGATTATGTAGCCTGAAACTCACTTCTATATATAATGAAGTGTAGGAAAGCCACAACTATTTTGCTTCTCTGACAAACATTCATTCCTCTCAGTGGGCTTCATACTACCCTCTCTCCTTCCACCAACATTTGCCCATCTTAAAATTCCTCCATCCCTTTTCTCATCTTTCATGAACATTCTACATAGATACACAGATCAATCTGTGTGCTCTAATTTTTCATCATTTATGTATAACTTGCAATCATTCACTCCATCTTGTCTGTCAAACACAAGTATTTTGGACTTTGACACATTAATTTTCAAATGCTCTTCATTGCATCATGCAATCAAATATTCACTGCAAATCAATCAGGTTCTCAACCAACAGCAGAGCATTATCTGCATACAAAAATGCATATCTATTCATGTCCCAACTAACCTATCTCTAGCTTCATCACAAACATTACTTATACATTTATTCCTTATTTCAAGCCTGCCATGTGCTTCCTGTAAATCAGTAAATCTACAATCATTTTTCTTCCTCGTATTTATATATTTTTCAATGATAAAAAAGCAAAAATCTCTTCTTCATATTCCTGCCTGGCATAAGGCTGCCACAAATTTTACTTGTCATCGTTGCCCCCTTTTGATCAGTATTCTACCAGACCACCCTCCAAACACTTAACAGAGTAGTTCCTCTGCAGTTTTTCCAATCATTCTTCCTACTCTTTCCATTTTCTAACAGAATGACTATGGCTTCTTCCAATGATCAAACATGATATCGTCTTCACACACACATTAAACTACTTGCAGAGCTATTTCATAAACACACCACATCCATATTTTATATTTTAATATTTTCCACTAACAGTCTCTGCACCTCCAGCCATGTTATTTTTCACACTATTTATGAGTGCTTTTCCTTATTTTTTTCCACCAAGTGTCCTTTTTAATGTTTACCATTGTCATAATTTCACACACTTTGTAGCACTGAATTTCCCCTCCTTTATTCTGAATATCTCTTCTGTTCCTCTGCTTCTACATTCTTACATCCACCTCTATTTATTTTTGGTGGGAATTAATATATTTTTATATTTCTATTGATTGCTTTTCTGTATGCACATATGAACAGTAACGCTTAAAACTATATGTTCAGAACAAACCCTTTTTTAAACAGATGCTTACCAGTCATAATAGTCATTCATCCTTGGATCTCCAAATGGCCTAATCATTTTTTTTAAATACTTTCTTGTCTGGTTCCCATCCATCTATTTGTTACAATACAATACGATAATTTTACTTCCTGGATCAGGAGTGTCAAACTTGCAGCCTGCAGGACAGATGTGTCACGCACTGGCCACCCCCACCCCCATTTTAGCAAAGGGGAGAAAAGTCACGATACGTCACATGATGACAATGTGATGATGCAAATGTGATAACCCTGTCCTGGATCAAATTAATGCAGAATGTTATTCAGTTGTCTAAAACCACTTAGTTCTTCCTATTCTCTCCAATCATTGGAGTATTAACATGTAACTTTCACCAATTTATAGATTTGTACTTTTATACATATCTGCAACAACTTTGATTTCACCAGTCTGTACTTATTGACATATACTTTAGCCTTTTATCATAAATGAACCTATGATTGCACTTCTCCGCATACATTAATATTCCACTCCACAAGATTGAATCATTTGCATTCTAATCATTTGCATCCTTTCTCTTTCTCCTAGTTTTATAGACAGAGCATATTTCATTCATTATGTCATGCTGTTTTTTCTTTTACTTCTTATACATGCTAAATCTTCTATATACCATGCTGGTAATAATGTAGATCCATAGATATTGCTCATGCTTGGTCAGTTAAGACTTTCACCTAAGACTTTGTAGTATGACAAAGGGTTAACAGCTTTACCAGCCTTAGTCACATCCATAGCACTTGCATTGATACTATGCTAATTGTAAGAATAGTACCAATCAGTATTGGTATAGTTTAGTTAATATGCTGCATGTTTGACATTTTCATGCTTTTCTGAGCCATCTTGGATCTAACAACTATCTTGAAGACCAGAAAACCATTGTGCACAGCCTTCCTAGAAGGTAGATGGTTCCTAGAAGGTACTGACATATTGTAATGGACTATGAAAATAACCTAGGAAGACAAGAAGGAGAGCCGCAGTCTAGACTATGGTCAGACAAAAGATATCTCACCCCACAGAAGGAATGGAAACATGGAAAGTGCCTCAGAAAGGACCTTCCCTTGTGGTCTAGAAAATAAAAGTACTGGAGGGGAGATGGACTTCCAAATTTGCAGATTGATATCAGCCCTTTGAGGTAATCCAGTCAAGAAACCAAAACCATGACTCCCATCTTTATCATAAGATTATGGTTACAGAATCTTGAAATCTTGCAAAATAAAGATTTTTTTTAATGATAATCCACTCGTAGAGAAAATCCACTCTTATTCCCACCCTTAAATTTAATAAGCTTCGCACAATCACAGTTGTAAATCTCAGCGTTCCAGGTATTTATCACTTTATTCAGGAATAGACTGATTTGGTAGAAGGCTCGGGATACCAAAAAATACTCCTTTTTTATAGACAAGAAGAACCTAACTGCCTGCCATATTACATAGAAAGCACATATAGGTCCTGCTCTAGATCAGGAACTCTAGATTTTCAATCTTATTTTTTTCCTTCCCAGCTTTCTGAGTTAATAGATACTTTGCCCTTCTCTTGAGGGAGTTGGGACTTGATGGGCTGTACTAACTTCATGAACCTCTCTACCATACAGTAGAAATCCCTGTTTTCTGCTCTTTCAGCTTCATTCTTTCTAAAAACTAATCTGAATCCTGAAAAACAGGCCAAATAGTGCTGCCAAAACTGTGCTGTATTGCAACCAAATTTTGTCATCATATCTCAAAGTATTGTACATGAACTACATAAAAAGTGTGCTGACTATTACAGTTTTTTGCCTTGTTAAATATTTCAGATGCCTGATGGCTTTTGGTTTGCACACTTGGAAGGTCACACACTTAGATTCTGCTTTTGTTGGGGGAAGGAAATTAGAGAAATTAATATGATTGGTGATTCCTTTATTATTGTTTAGTTCTCTTTCCCACCCTTTTTTACTGGCAAGTCTTTTGTGAGCAGATCATGCAATTACCAAGCTCATTCATTATTCAAAGCAATCCCACCACTTTTTCAAGCAATTAATTGCTGAAAAGCAGACTGTTCACCAATGATTCATTCTGAAGACTCCAAATGTGAAAATTACAAGCTGTTTTGCACTGGTAAAGATGGCAAAGGCTATTCAGGTATCAAAATCCATATAGAATTTTTTTCTGTGCTTTGAATATATCTCTGCATGGCATCATTGAATGGAACCTAGCACTATAATGAACAGCTTGTGCAGAAAGTTTGTTTCTTTGTTTAGTCAGTGTATATGGGGGCCCTCTTGCAAACATGACTCTGGGTGGTTTACAGTGTTAAAAACAATTAAAATATATACAAAAATGCAAAATCCATAGCAGCTGGAAAAAGATAAAAAAGCCACATTCCAACATTCAACATAGCCAATCAACAGGCTCGGTCCCATGCTCAGGGAAAGAGTCATGTCCTCAGGGCCTTACCAAAGTCCAATACAATTTCTGGAGGAATGACATTCCATAGGAAAGGTGCCCTGACAGAAAAGGCTTTCCTCCTGGGCCCTGTCAGCTGGCACTCCTTAGCTGATGGGACCCAAAGCATGCCTCTCCTGCAGAATGGATGGGATAGATAGAACAACTGGGGAGAGACAATCCTATCAGTAGCCTAGCCCCAAGCCATAAGGGCTTAAAGGTTCAAGCCCTGCTGTCTGTGCTATTGCATTCTGCAGTAGCTGAAGCTTCTGAATGTTCTTCAAGGGCAGGCCCATATAGAGCTCTTTGCAGTACTTTAATCTGGAGGTCACTAAGGGATGAGCGATCATGAATACAGCCTCTTAGTCCAGGAATGCACATAACTGATATATAATCCAAGCTGTGCAAAAAGCCTACCTAACCATGGATGCTATTTACTCCTCAAGCAGGAGCTATGAGTCCAGGAAGCCACCCAGATTGCCCGTCAGCACTGTCCAGTGCCATCCCACTCAGAACAAAAATGAAATGAAATGAAAAGTCCTAGCGGGTCCAAAAATCCCAGGTCTTGCTGGGATTAAGCTAAAGCTTGTTGTACCCCATTTAGAGGCCCCCACAGCTACCAGGCACTGGGGCCATTAGACAACCTGGGATGGAGTTGTAGTTTGGTACCCAGAGGCTTTATGTAGCTGCTAAACAGGGGAGGAGAAAGCACTGAAAACCAAAGGACCTTACAGTGCAGGGTTGGACTTCTCCTTCCTTAACAACTTCAAGTGGAACTGAGCCCAAAGGATGGAGAAGAACCATCACAGTACTGTGTTGCCTGTATCAAGCTTCTAGAGCCAGTCCAGAAGGATACCA